GGAGCAGGGGGGAAGGCAGTGATAGAAAGTATGCTTTGAAGGGTCCCACTCCTTTGCTCCGAGATTTCCTCTGCTTTCCGGAGGGCTTATGACTGATTTGGGGACTCAGCATGAATTCCAGCGATTGGAATTTTGAATTTTTGGTGATATAGTGTGTAGGTAGATCAGAAGAGTAAATTGGAGTTACTTCTGAAGCAGTGTATTTCTTTTACAAGTTGGCATTCATTGATTTTGCAAAGAATTTTCACTACTTTTTCACTTTTATAGAAGCTTGCAGAATTTCTTTTACGCCAGCTTATGTCCAAAACAGCTGAGCATCCCACTGAGTAGTTTTCCTCGCAGAGATGGAAGGAATTCGTTGGTGTCAGAAATGCCTGCCAGAGGAGAAGTTAACAGACCCAGTGTTACGCTTTATTGCTTGGGTAGGGACCCTTTCTCTCTAAATATGTATGGATTGGTTACAGATAAAGTAAGCCATCATAGGCAGATAAAGTCCCGGCCTTCCTCTCCTGCCATTCTGGGCTTGAGAATAGTGGCACGTGATGCAGTGGTTTGGGGCTGCTCACTGCATCAGGGAGGCAGAGGTCTGTCCCAGGCTGCCATTGGGACGTGGGGGCTTTAACTTAGCACTTGGGTTCAGTATTATTGTTGAAGCGCAGGCACTGAGTAGGACACCAGATAAAAAAGATCAGGCGCTTCGGAGTCAGGCAGCTCTGCTGTCAGTTCCGGCTCCTGGTTTACCACCCTTGCTGAGATTGCTTAAACTGACCCATTTTGCATGGGATGATAATAATAGTATTTATTCCCTAGGGAGAGAATTAATTGAGCTGATCTAAGAGTCTTTGGTATACGCAGTTCTTGGCAGATTATGAGTATTGAATGCATTTTAGTATTAGTTGTTGTGTTCATGCAGGTACCAGCGTCCATAGGCATCCGAGTCAGTTCTGATACCTAACGTGCCAGTCATGCAAAATGAGTATAACCTTACCATCCATGAATCAAAAATCGATTATAGTTACTCCTACGATTGTTTTTCTGAAATCCAAATATTAAAATTAGAATTCCAGTTCTGCGAATGTGGCTGAGTAAGTTTTCCTGTTGGCTCTGGAGATCTCTTTTACCGTGCAATATTTTATAAGTGTAATAGATGATGTAAGGGAACATTAGGTCCCTTGAAATGTGCATGAAATTATGCAATTGAATTGTACTGACTTAAAATGAAAGAAAACAGAGACGGGTTTTTGGGGGTAAGGCCTGTGGCCTTGTTCTTTATGTGTTCCAGCACTAAGTGTCACATGGTGAGGGTGAAACAGGATAGGGAAGTTTTTATGAAGTTCACTTTCAAGAGATAAGGGTGAGTGTGTAATTTGGAGCAAACATTCTTTACCTTGCCTCTAAAATATATTCAGACAAAGCATGGGTCACTGCATGGGATGTTAACAGAGCAAAGGTAGCTCTCTTTCCGTTTCCTGAATGGAGATGTCTACAGTCTGAAAAACCCCATAGTTGGGTCACTTGTTTTTTATCGATTTATTGATTAGATTTAGCATCAATGTTTCAATTCTAAAAAATAACTAGTATATTTGAAGTACAAGAAAAATCATAGAATTCTAGAGCTGGAAGGAAGTTTAAAGTTCATCAGGCTCACCTTCCTGTTAAAGTAGAGGAGCGTATTCTTTGATTGATTGCCTCCTGTGATGAGGAGCTCACTGCTTGTCAGTGTGGGAACCTTTGCCTCTTAGTAAGCTGTTAGAAGCCTCTCTACAAGTTTTACTCACTGATAGCTTTGCCTTCTGGAGCTACTAGAGTAAAGCTTCTTTTAGGACAACCTTTCCTATCTTTTCCACACTAAGCACTCCCTGTTTATTCATCCCTCTCTCTACAAATTTCCATCACTTCAGCATTTTTACCACTTGTGAGTGATCACCGTAGCTATTGTCATTATTACTGAAACGATCGTAGCATTATAGATGGCAAAATAGATGGTGATATATTCTGTGCTTTCAGTCTGAATCTAGAGGCAAAATTTAAAAAAAAAAAAAAGGAAGTCGCTATAAAACCACGATTCCTATGGTTTTGGGATCTCTTACAGCAGGAGTCCTCAACCCCTGGGCCGCGGACTGGTACTGGTCCATGGCCTGTTAGGAACTGGGCCACACAGCAGGAAGTGAGCGGCGGGCGAATGAAGCTTCATCTGTATCTGCAGCCGCTCCCCAGCGCCAGCATCACCACCTCAGCTCCAACTCAGATCATCAGGCATTAGATTCTCATAGGAGCACCAATCCCTGGTGCCAAAAGGGCACCTCAGCAGCAAGCTCACCCAGCCCGGGGTTTTACTACCTCCTTCCCTCCAGCCACAATTCCACCCCTTCCACACCCACTCAGTAAATAACAACCACAATGTTGTTATAGCGATAGTCTCTTATTGGCTGCAATGTAAAGAAAACAAAGGATCCCCAGACTTCTGTATCTGTACCTCTTATAGTATCAAATTACTTCCTAGCTACCTAGACATCAGTGGTAAGAGCAGCTGCCCTTGGGGCTGTTTCCATGGATCTTAGCTGGATGGAGAAAAGGGAGCCCTCTTGTTTGTCCTTCATTCTGTAATTTCTGTGTCGTGAGGGCTTGTCTTCTGGGTGGCTTTATTTTGCTTCAGGGGATGCCAAATGACTGGAACTTGTTTCCTGCCCCATTTGGATGACTGCCTGGCAAGTTCTATTCAGGGCACTGAAAATTAATTTATAGCCATCTCCAGAGTGAGATAAAATATCGGTTAAAATACCTCTCCCGACCTGTAGGAGACAGGTAGATTATGATAGAATATGACTAAATATAATTTGGACCATTGCAATGTTACACGAATTTAGTAGTGAAGATTGTTATGAAGTTTGCTCTTAGAATAAGATTTCCAATTACTGGGTATGTCACAGTGAATGTTTATTTAAGTTATATACATTTGTAGCTAGACACAAGTTTAGCTTATTAAAGTGTTTTGTGGACAGCTGTATTCATCAGCTTTTAGCATATTCTTTTTTGTTGTCGTTCACTCTTGTTTAGTAAATAACTTACAGTTTAAGGAAAAGCTCTCTTTAAGCAGTATCTGATAGGTCACACTTAGGTCCATGGCTTTTTTTCACATAAACTGCCTGTCATTAGAAAGGCAGTTGTTAATGTATTGCAGTGCCTTTTAATGCCTGTTTGAACTTTTGTTTTTGAATACTGTCCAACCCCCAGCCGGATAATATCTTGGACAAATTCCTTGCCATCTTGACTTGTGAGAGAAGCACAGCCTTATACTTCTTCATGTTGTGTTTTCTGTCCTTGCTGGACAGAAATTGTTGCAAGTGGATTTTGTACCAGCGAGAGGAATTCGAAGTCCATCCTAAGCCTCTCTGTACCGTCCGTGTGGGCCGTTGACTTGAGCACTCTTAACGCCAAGTGTTGAAAGAGGAAAAGACAGCACTTATCAGGTGTGGGTGATAAGTCAGGAGCGAAGAGGCTGTCTGTCTCCCCTGTTGCCTTTCCCACCGCTGGTTCCAAGGGAGGGCCCCTGTGGTCTGAGTACTTCCGCTGGGCATGGATGCTATTTTATATGGGTGCTTTCCCTTTTCTTCTCAAATATTCAGTTTAAAGATCTCTTGGTCAGGTTGTTAAATCTGTCATATCCGCAGGTTCCAGGCTTTTTGCGACCCCCTCACTTGACAGGAGCCCACTATTCTAGAAAACAGCTGTCAACCCAGGACACTGATCTTCCACTCAGCACTGTTTATGTAGCTAATTGTGGAATTTCCACAGCCACCTTTGGATTCAGAAAACATGGCCTCTGCTGACAGTTCTTTGGTCTCTTCTGTCAAAATGTTACAGCTTTTGGAATTCTTCATTTCTAATTTTATTTATTTGAAGTCTCTTTTTTTCTTGGTTAGTCTAGCTAAAGTTTGTCTCTTTGTTTATCTTTTCAAAAAAAAAAAAAAAACCCTAGCTCTTAGTTTCATTGATCTTTTCTATTGTCTTTTTCATCTATTTCACTTTTTTCCTTTCTTTGTAAATAACTTTGAGCTTAATTTATTCTTTTTCTAGTCACTTGAGGTGTAAAGTCAGATTGTTGATTTGAGATCTTTCTTTTTTCTTAATATAGGTGTTTATCGCTATGAACTTCCCTCTTAGAACTGCTTTTGCTGCATCCCCTGAATTTTGGTATGTTGTATTTCCATTTTCATTTGTCAAGATGTTTTTTGATTTCTCTTTTGATTTCTTCATTGGTCAGTAGCATATTGTTTAATCTCCAAATATTTGGGAATTTTTTAGTTTTCTTCTTGCAATTGATTTCTATTGTGATGCTTGATATGATTTCAATCTTCTTAATTCATTATGACTTGTTTTGTGGCCTAACATATGACTTATCCTGGAGAATGTTCCATGTGTGCTTGAGAAGAATGTGTATTCTGCCACTTTTGGATGGAATGTTTTTAAATGTCTCTTAAGTCCATCTGGTCTAACATGTGGTTTATATCCAATGTTTCCTTATCGCTTTTCTGTCTGGACGACGTAGCCCTTGTTGAAAGTGAGGTATCAAAGTTCCCTACTATATTACTGCTGCCTATTTCTCCCTTTTGTTCTGTTAACAGTTGCTCTCTATGTAGGTGCTCTGATGTTGGGCGTGTATATATTTATGATCGTTATATCTTCTTGATGAATTCACCCCTTTATCATTATATAATGACCTTCTTTGTCTCATTATATGTTCTTGATGAATTCACCTCTTTATCATTATATAATGACCTTCTTTGTCTCTTATTACAGTCTTTGGCTTAAAGTTTATTTTGTCAGATATAAGTGTAGTTACCCCTGTGAAAGTCCAGTTTGAGCAGTTTGGCCTCTGGCTCAGTAGATATGGGAAGGAGTCAGAGGATTTGTGTAATGAGGGTTGGCATCTTAGATCATGTCCTGGGGAGTAATGGAGACCACGTGAGCAATGCCGTGAGTACCTCAGAGCCCCTCGGTTATCAGTCGTCTTGACCACCTTTTGCCTCTGGGGAGGTAGTAGAAGGCTTTTTTCCAGTTTCTGAAACCGTGGAACCTATTCAGTGTTCCATGGACCACAGGGCACTTCTCAAGAATGATAGAGCACGAGAGAAGGGCCTTATCTTGGTTATGTTATTTAGCTTCAGGATTATGCAATTTCTTATCTTTTCTATCCAGTGTCACTTTCTTCCATATGCTCCCTTCGTGGTACTGTCTTCTTCAGGTTTCTCAGAGCATGGGGGTTGCTGTCAGATCTGGGTGTGAATTTCAGCTCTTTGAAGTTGTGCTTGTGTAGAGCAAGTAACCCCTCTCAGCCTCAGTTCCTCATGTTAAAATAATGGAATAAGGGAATGTAAACTTCTTCGCATGGTACCTTGCATGTGGTAAACATACAATGAATAATATATATTGGTGCTATTTTTGTTATTGTTGTTGATTTTCTTCTTAGATTATTTCTTTTATCTTGACTAAGAACCCTGCTTCCCCCAAACTAAGCTAGAATTCGGAGAATCAAGTACTTTCTCTAGAAGAAACATCTGTTACAAGCATAAGAAGATATCACTGGAGGTTGCTTCAGACAGAAAAACAAAAATAACAAATACCCTGTAGGTCAGCCACAGTTGGGCTCCAGTCCTTAAAAATTTCCTTTTTTAACTGTTTACATGGCTCCAGGGTTCCCAGGGGCTTATCTATATTGATCATCTTAAGTTGTTTTATGTTAACATAAGAATAAGAAGTAGAGGAACTAGAGAGTGACTTTGGGGGAATTTCTTCTTTTGACTTAGGTCTTGTGTATAAATGGTTTGCGAGGAGGTTGGTCTCAAACCTGAGTGGCTGTTTGCATCCATATCCCTTTGCTGAGAGTGTAAAAAGGAGGCGGGCGGTTTTGACCATCACAATTTGTGGGAATAAGGTTGGAAAAAGAGATCCCAGCCAGCTAAACTGGAAAGGAGATGAGGCGGCAGCTCCTCTTTAAAAGGCTCTAGATTATGGGTCTTCTCCCCGTGCAGGTGGAGTGGGGGTGATTGAATTCATTTGCTGTGCAACTCGGTTGGCTTTATCACCCTGATCATGAAAAGGGGCCAGAAGACACCAGTTTCTGTCCTGTGCAGTTCATCTCGCTCAGAGGTCCTTGAGTTTCCAACAGTTTCTCTTAAGGATTTCTGGTTGCCTACTAATCATTTCCAATACCTCAATCTTTGTTAACATTAGCTGGCTTAGTCATACACTTGGCCCCAAACAAGAGAGGGTATTGTGTTTCTTTTTCCCTCTAGAGAGGTATGTTTTTTTTTTTCCTTTGTATTGCCCAAACATTTTTACTTATAAATGTTTAGAATATCTAGTGTGAGGCCTGGCCTGCTTTGTAGTCCTTGCTTTGTAAGCACTGATTGAAGTTAATTGTTCTGATTAGATCAAGGAGATTTTGTGTGTCTACCTCCAGGGGATAGATATGGCAGGCTGAGGAGTGCTGGCGACCCATACTTTCGACAATGGGGAGTTGACGAAGGAGAGAAGGAGGTCCAGGCTGCTTATGTTTCACTCTTGGCTTTGCCCACCAGCCGAGATACCGGAACCTTCTAACTAACTGC